GCAACCATTCTTAAGGAATACTGCATAGGTAAGAGGAGTGGATCATTTTAAAGAAGTTTCTGCATGAGGATTAATTATCAAGCCAGTGGTGGGTCTAGGTGACCTCATTCTGTAAACAGATTTTTATTTGCACACAACATTTGCATATTTTTATTGGTTGTTTTTAAGCTGCATCAGCAAGATTAAGTAGGGACCGTAATCTGCAGTACCTAAGACATTTACTATTTGGCCCATTCCAGCAAAAGTTTACTGACTCACCCTTATAAAGTAAACCCCCAAGAAAATGGGTTTTACTAATTGAATCCACAAATTGGGAAAGAAACATGTCAGCTTGGGCCTTGTGATTCACTTGTGTTTTGGAAGTGAGTTCTTTCATGATGGGCCTCATTTCAATGTGGAAAATTCAACTAAAAATTGTCTTACTTCTGTCAGCCTCATAGAAAATCCCAACAAAATTCTTAGTTTTGGTCTCTTCTGTCCAGTTGTAAAGCACATGTGGTATCACTAAGTTCAGCGTGACCCCGAAGGGAGGCACGTGTGGGCGGGCTAGAATCGATCTGGTGGCTCTTGGTTGGGAAACAGTGCGTTGTCAACAAGAAAAAGGAACTCGTCTGTCCGGTGGAATCTTGGCTGACTTTTTTGTACTCTGACCCCATGTTTAAAAAATGCAAGACTTTTCATTTTTTTTTTTTAGTTCATTTTCAAACCTATTATGTCTCACTAGACATTTTTAACTGTTTGCATCAATATGTGTACTCCCATGTTCCTGTTGGCCAGCTGTTGAGGTTAACCTGGGTCACATGACACACACTGGCCAGTCCAGCGCCCAGCTCAGGGAGTCACTCAGTGTGCTGTGCTTCAGTACCCAGTCCTTCCCTGCAGTGCTGTCTCAGTGCTTCTACCAGCAACATCTTGTTAGCAGCGAGAATGCATATTGCTCATCTTCATAATATTTGGTGCCGTTCGTGTCAGATTAAAAGATTTGTAAGCCATCAGTGTGTTAGGATAGCCCGACCTCCTTTGGTCAACGAATTATAGGCAATCAGCTTTTTCCTGTCAGGCCTAATCGATTATGTCCATATAAATCTGTGTGGCATTTGCTAAAATCGATTATCTGTGTCCTGCTTCCTGTCCCAACTTCAGTACACTTGAAATAAACTTTTGACATTTGTCTCTGTTTTGATATTGTATCTGCGTTGCTCTCCTGAAGTTTCAGAGACCTGTGCAAGGTTACTTAAAATGCAGGTATCAGCAGGTCTCGAGGATGAGGGGGAAATGTGGCAGTAATACAAGCGGTAAATAAAGGGTTTGCACTTTGTGCTGTCAAAGCCAAGGACTCAGGCAGAACCCAGACGTGGGTCAGTATGTCAGTCGGAACCAGAGGACCTGCTACGCACCCACTTCAGGTGAAGTGCGGGGCTGCCGTCCTCAGGGCTGTAAACTTTATTTCAGTTTTTTAAATTTGCACTTTAATGTAAAAGTCACCAGATTGTTCCTTGGGTTAGAAAGTCAGAGAGGAAAGTAAATATTACTGCAAGAGTTGAGCGCCGGGGCCTCGGTCGGGTGACCAGGGCTCCCGTCTGTCCCCAGCCTGACTTCTGTCGAGCCGTCTCTCGGAGAAGAATGTATTCTCCTTCCCATTGTGAGTGTTCAGCGTCAAGGCGCGAAATGCTCTCATCGCTGCCTGCTGAGGAAGAGGAAGTGCTGGACTTGTGCCCAGTTTGGCTGCAGGTGGATTAGACAGAGATGCAGGGAAGTGAGAAAGTGTGCTGTGGTCTGGCGGCTTTTCGTGTGTGCGGCCTGGTGGCTTCCCGTGTGTGTGGCGTGTCACTGAGAGCATCAGTGGTCCTCAGCTGCCTTGCCCACCGAGAGGCCGTTCTGCTAAAGGCGCTGGCAAGCAGTGATGCCGTTATCACATCATCGGTTGATGCGGCCGTCCAGCAGCGTGGAGCTTCACAGTTCTGCACTTGACCGTTCTTTGTCAGAGCTAGAAAAGTAAAATGGATCTGTTAAACACTCATGGAAAATTATCTATTGTAGGAAAATTATGAACGGATTTTTAGAATTTTTGCATCGTAATATACTTCTTTGAGAGGCAGAGAGAACAGGATACAGACAGACACAGAAGGAAAAGTGTGCTTTTTCTCTCCCTCCGTGCCTTTCATGGCTGAGGCCACGCAGAAGGCAGGAGCCACACGTGAGTAGCAAGAAACTGAACTCAGGACGCGGAGCTGAGCCAACATCGTGGGGTGGAGCCAACCTCGTAGGGTGGAGCCAACATTGTGGGGCGGAGCCAACATCGCGGGGCGGAGCCAACCTCGCGGGGTGGAGCCAACATTGTGGGGTGGAGCCAACATCGCGGGATGGAGCCAACATCGCGGGGCGGAGCCAACCTCGCGGGGCGGAGCCAATCTCGCGGGGTGGACAGTCGTCTTACCAGCGGCCTTCCTGCGAGCTTCTCTTGAAGAACCGTCATACCTAACTGTAAAACAGTTGAGTTTTTCTGTGGAAGACGGTACAAGCTTGGCTTGTTTATCTGGTTGTCCCCTACATTAACACACTCCGCATGCACGCTCTCTCTAGCTCTGGTTTATATCGCCGAGCTGTCAGTGCTTAGGAAGATGATAGCTCCTGTGGTGTCCTGGCCTGTGGCCTCCCGCCCGGTGCGCACCTTCCCGCTGTCTCCTGCTGCTGGCCTTTCTGCCCCCGACCGTCTCTCTCTCTCTCTTTTTTTTTTTTTTTTTAAGATTTATTTATTTATTGGAAAGTCAGATATACAGAGAGGAGGAGAGTCAGAGAGGAAGATCTTCCGTGCAGGGAGCTGGATGGGAAGTGGGGCTGCTGGGATTAGAACCGGCGCCCATATGGGATCCCGGTGCATTCAAGGCGAGGACTTTCTGCTAGGCCATAGCGCCGGGCCCATCGACCGTCTCTCTTGACCTGCCGTGTTCTGCTGCCACTTCTCCCTGGTGGAGGGAGTACATGCGTGGCGTTCATTTCTACTCTGTAAATGCCGTAAGACTGGGGACTGCTTTGCTCGGCTTTTTTCCAAACTTCTATGTCAACAGCAATGCTGGGCTTGTGGCTGCACCCCAATCCTGAATCTGTGATAAATATAACTGGAGTATATAAAACCATGTGTGTGTGTGTATAATAAGAAATAAAAACCAAGTAATCTATATACATATATAAAATAGGAATATATAAAACTGTGTGTATATTTATATAATAAAAAATAAAAACCAGGTATGTACGTATATATTTATAAATAGGAACATATAAAACCAAGTAAAAATTGCTAAGCAAATAAATAAATCTTTAAAAAAATTGCTGGGCCTGGCGTGGTGGCGCAGTGGTTAAGGTCCTTGCCTTGTACGCCCAGGATCCCATATGGGCGCCGGTTCTAATCCCGGCAGCCCCGCTTCCCATCCAGCTCCCTGCCTGTGGCCTGGGAAAGCAGTCGAGGACGGCCCAAAAGCTTTGGGAACCTGCACCCACGTGGGAGACCCAGAAGAGGCTCCTGGCTTCGGATCGGCATAGTATCGGCCGTTGCGCTCACTTGGGGAGTGAATCATCGGACGGAAGATCTTCCTCTCTGTCTCTCCTCTCTGTATATCCGTCTTTCCAATAAAAAAATAATAATAAAAATAAATCTTTAAAAAAATTGCTAACCAAAATAAAATTAAATCCTAAAAAAAAGACTTACTCATCTGTTTTATTTTTTCTTTTGGTTTTTTTTTTTTAAGATTTATTTATTTTTGTTGAAAAGCAGATTTACAGAGAGAAGGAGATACAAATAAAAAGATCTTCTGCCTACTGGTTCACTTCCCAGGTGGCTGCAGCAGCTGGAGCCGAGTTGATCCAAAGCCAGGAACAAGCAGTCTTTTTCGGGTCTCCCACATGGGTGCAGGGTCCCAAGGCTTTGGGGTGTCCTCCACTGCTTTCCCAGCCAACAAGTAGGGAGCTGGAAAAGAAATGGAACAGCCAGGACACAAATGGGTGTCCATGTGGGATCCTGGTGTATGGGAGGCGAGGATTTAGCCAGTGGGCCATCATGTCAGGTCCCAGACTTCCTTATCTTAAAAATATAATTGCCTAAAGATTGGGCCTGGCTCAGTGGCCTAGCAGCTTAAGTCCTTCCCTTGAATGTACCAGGATCCCATATGGGCGCCAGTTCTAATCCCAGCAGCCCCACTTCCCACCCAGCTCCCTGTTTGTGGCCTGGGAAAGCAATCGAAGACCGCCCAAGCCTTGGGACCCTGCACCCGCAGGAGACTCAGAGGAGCTCCTGGCTCCAGATCGGTGCAGCACTGGCCATTGCAGTCACTTAAGAAGTGTTCTCCTCTGCATATCTGACTCTGCAATAAAAGGAAAATAAATCTTAAAATATATATATGTGTATAAATGGGCAAAGAGATCTGGGGAGGTTTTATCCTTCAATAGGAGTCAAATAAATATAAATCAAGGCATACTTAGCAGGCATTATTTTAATTGATAATATATTTTTAACAATTTCGTATAGGCAGCCACTCTTTCTAGCTGGAGAAAAAGACTCCAGTGTGGCTTTCAGGTTTGGGCTTAAACAACCGGGACAGTGGGATTGGTCTTAACCAAGATGAAATGTGAAGTACTTAGCTTAGTACTAGTAAGAGCTACTTGAAAGGTGTTGCCATCTCCAAAATTTAGAATGATCAAGTTCAAGGGTTTTTCTCTTATCTAATGGTTTCTGTCTACAAGCGCAAAGAATGTTTCATCAGAATAGCTAAAAATATTATACATTTACCTGGCAAATGGGAATTCTACTAAATCGTTCCGTCCGTTGACTATTTTTTTCACCCTAGAGGATAAAGATAGAACTTGTATTTTTCCATGTGACGGTAATAAGTAATAGCACTTGTATGCTAAGCAGTACTAATGAATTTAAGCAAAAGGAAAAACCTAACAGACTCAGGTTTCAGTTTAAGGCAAGCAGGACTCTGAGCCGGCTTCTTCCCTTTCAGGATACTGCCTTACGGCTGCTTAGCGACTGGAGACCGCTCTGGCCTCATTGAGGTGGTGAGCACCTCGGAGACCATCGCTGACATTCAGCTGAACAGCAGCAACGTGGCTGCCACAGCAGCCTTCAACAAGGACGCCCTGCTGAACTGGCTGAAGGAGTACAATTCCGGGTGAGTGGGCTCTGCCAGAGTCATTCTGCCAGTAGAACGCATCATTGCCTTGCAGGAGGGAGTATCATGTATTTGTTGCCTCATTTTTGGTCAGAAGTCGCAGATAGTTAAAGTCTGTGTGTCCAGATGAAAATTCAAGCTTTTTTTTTTTCAGAGTGTATTTGAGAGAGACAGTGGCGCTGCATCCGCTGGTTCACGTCCCCCAGATGTGCACAACAGCTGGGACTAAGGCGGCACAACCCAAAACTGGGAGCCTGCCACGTAGGCAGCTGCAACCTGCTGGTGTGAGCCGATGCCACTGCCTCCTTGGGTCTGCATTAGCTGTGAGCTGAAGGCAGGAGCCCCAGGCAGATAGATATATTTTTATGATTTGTAATTTTTATTTGAAATGCAAAATTATAGAGAAAGAATGAGATCTTCTATGCTGGTTCATTCCCCTGAATGGCTGCAGCAGGTGGAGCAGGGCCAGGTGGAAGCCAGGAGCCTGGACCTCCATCTGGGTCTCCCAGTTGGACTGTCTGCACTGCTTTCCCGGGCACATTACAGGGGAGCAGCCAGGGCTTGACCCACTGCCCAAATGGGATGCCAGCGTTGGAGTTATGGCACAACACTGACACTGCCGCCTCGCCCTCACCAAGGCAGGTATTGAACTGAGCTGGAACACAAGCCACTTAACCGCCAGGCCAAATGGGCAGCTCTGGGTTGAATTTTAGAACCCTACAATAAATTTATAATCCAAGAATTTTAGTATTCTTGAGACAATATTGGAGTTTTATAATCATATTAACTTCTATAATTACTTATATGAACTAAAGCTTTTAATTTTGTAATCTCCAAATTAAAAAATACAGTGTTTGAAATGGCATTATTTATGGTCATGGTGTTAGAAAACCAGTATGATGGAGAAAATAATGGAATTTCACGGTACAGGTGATTGTTCATGAAGTACTTTCGTCCAGAGAATCCAAAAGCCAAACTCAGATTTTTATCATTGGCCAGCTCGATAACTTGCCCGAGTCAGCTTACAGATGTTTATCTTAGGCCTTACTCCCCGAGAGTTCCTATTACCAACTTGTAATTCTTCTAATTCAAGTCAGTAACTGGGAAGAGCTTAACTGCAATACTCTTGTTTTTGTTTGTGTGGGTTTTTGTTTTTGAGAAACAGAGACACATGCCCAGGCAGACAGACAGAAGAAAATCTATCCAGTTGTTCAGTACCTAAAAACCTCGTAGCCAGGAGCTCAGTACAGGTGCCCCACGGTGGCACACATGAACCTCCTGAGCCGTCAGCACCGCTGCCTTGATGGGTGTGGAATTCTAGAAAGGATGCTCACCTAGGCACCCAGGTGTGAGATTTGAGTGATTGTGTACCAAGTGCCTACGTGGTCAATATTTAACTCTTATGTTTAGAAGTATAGTCTTGAGACAAATGACAGAAATATTTCCAAGTCCCTATGCGATCAGCAAAGAGAGCTCACGGTCTCCTGTGCCGTGCCTGTCCCTGACGCATTGAGGCGCAGGCCGGAGCCATGGGAGTGGCCGAGGCGCGGTCAGCCAGCCTGAGCCCTCTGGGCCCTGCCCCTGGGAGGCATCTGCAGGGGCTCAGCAGCATGTTCTATTCAGATACTTTTTGCAACTTTCTTCACAATTAACAAGGAAATAAAGGTGGTTTGAGTTTCATCTCACCTTTGTTTTCTGTTTTCTTTGTTCAGGGATGACCTGGACCGAGCCATTGAGGAGTTCACTCTGTCCTGTGCTGGCTACTGTGTAGCTTCTTACGTCCTCGGAATTGGTGACAGACACAGTGACAACATCATGGTCAAAAAAACTGGCCAGGTGAGTGCTGCCCAGGGCCCGAGGATGCTGCCGCTGGTGTGCTCTGCTGAAACATCAGCAGAAGGCATGCTGGGAGGCGTATATTTGTCTTTCTTTCATTTTCCCACTAGCCCTGTTTATTATAATTCTGCTTCTTGTGTTCATTAATTCAGTTTCTTGGAGTCAGATAATAAGCATTTATTTAAACATTGAAAAGTTACTTTTGCTGCTTTCCTGCTTTACTGTAAGCCAGTTGTACTTGAGGTGCACATGTCCTTAGCCAGAGGGCAGATGATTCTTGTATTAAAGGTGAGCTATGCTTACACACACTCTCTCTTTTTTAAAGCATCCAATTTAATCACATCTGAGAAGGGAGAGTGAGCAATAACATTTGGATAAAGATAACAGGCTAAGTTATTTGCAAAGAAGCACTTTATTTTCAAAGGGAGAAAATCTCTTTTAAGATTTACTTTCGATGTATTTGAAAGGCAGAGTTACAGTAAGAGAAATGGAGAGAGGCCTTCCTCCACTGGTTCCCTTCAGAGGTGACTGCAGTGGCTGGGCAGGCCAGGATGGAACTAGGAGTTTCTTCCTGGTCTCCTACATGTGTACAGGGGCCCAGACACTTAGGCCATCTGCCACTGTTTTCCAAGGCCATTAGCAGGGAACTGGTTCACAAGTGGAGCAGCTGACATCGAACGGGTGCCCATAAAGGATCCTGGCACACCAGGGGGCTGCTAGCAGCACCAACCTCTCAAATGAAAATTTTCAAGTGGCTTGTAATATTTGTGGATTTTATATATGTTTATTTATTATGTATGTACTTTATATTAAGGAGAAATAGCTGTGATACCTTACAGTTAATCCATCCTTGAAATTCCGTGTTACTAGAAGCATGTAAAATTACGGCTTCTGGGTCATTTTAATTTCAGCTGCCTTTGACGTTTTGAGAGAGCTCAGTAGTTCTGACTCGGGCTTCAAGCATTTAACCCAATGTTCATTCAGATTTATTCAGATTTCTGGCTAATCCAACTGAATATATAAGCTTATCTCTATTTTTCTTCTGACAGCCCTTTAAAGTGATAATAAAGAATTAGAAATATGCAAACCCCAAAAAGTCAAAAGCGCTGGGATGGGAGGCCACAGTGGTGCAAGACCTGGATAGGTGCAGGAATGATGGTGAGGCAGGGCAGGGAGTGGGCAGTGGGCTGTGAGGCAGGGCAGGGAGTGGGCAGTGGGCAGTGGGCTGTGAGGTGGGGCAGGGAGTGGGCAGTGGGCTGTGAGGTGGGGCAGGGAGGGGCAGTGGGCAGTGGGCTGTGAGGCAGGGCAGGGAGTGGGCAGTGGGCTGTGAGGCAGGGCAGGGAGTAGGCAGCCCTGCAGTTGGAGACTCCTCAGGATGGTAGCTTGGCAGGAGATTGAAAACCAAGTCCTGTTTCATAACCCAAGAGGTTTCTTCTTTGAAGAAATCAGTTTTCCTGACATAGGTTCTACAGAAAGTGAGGGGAAAGAATGTATTTAAGGTCAAGAGGAAGTAGAAGTCTGGTATATTAATTATAGTGTACATTTATAAATAGCATCCTTAGCTGCTACTTGTTGCATTGCTCCAAGAACACTGACAAGCATAAGAAACTAGAAGATTCCTTTTAAGAGAATCTGGTTACAATGAAAAGACTCACAGATCAAGCATTAATGGACTTTTCTTTTTGTAAGATTCCCTATTTATTTAATTAGTTATCTAATTATTTATGCTTAAAAGGCAAAGAGAGAGAACTTCTAAAAAACAACAGCCAAGGCTGGACCAGGCCAAAGCCAGGAAGCCTGGGGCTCCATCTGAGTCGCTCCTGTGTGTGCCAAGCACTGAGCCGTCTTCACTGCCTTCTGTCAGTGCAGGCAGGGGGCCGGACTGGAAGGGAGCAGGTGGGACTTGAACTGGCACTCACGTAGGATGCCTGCACTGCAGGTGGCTTAACTGGCTGTGCCACAAAGTCAACCCTGGCAGTATTTATCATGGATAGAATGTTGTTTTTGAGATATCTATGTTGTGCAGTGGCTAAATAGAGCTAAGCAATATATGCAAAAAAAGTAAGATGTACCCTCAGCAGTTTTCAGAAACACAATAAAAGCATTCTGATTCACTATAGGCACTTTACTGTAAAGCAGATCTTCTGAATTTGTTCCTTGTACTTAGTTGGTCTTTTGAATTCTTTGAGCAGCATTTCCTCAATCCCGCTGCTGCCTCTCGTGACCGCCATGTGCTCTCTGTCGGATTAGAGACCTGAGGGAAGCCATTACCTAAAAGAAACCAAACAGGCAAGGAGAAACAAGAACTCTTGGGAAATGACTGCAGTAAACAGAAGATGGTTTAAATGTCAGAACCACAGGAAGCCATTGTAGCTGTGAGGCAATAATGAGATTCTGTCTTAAACATCAGAGACTAGAAAGGCTTGGGAATTAAAACTAGGCACAAAGACAGTTAAACTAGAGAAGGGCAAGCAGGGTAGACTCAGCATAATACTTCATGTATGTAAGCAACAAGCAGGGACGGAAGGCCTTACAGCCCTGCAGGCCACAGCAGGTCACACAGCAGGCCACACCGCAGGGGTTGGAGTAACACGGCCAGGCCTCCCCAGAGCCGCACCAGAACTGTCACCAAGAGTCAGCCTTCACGACTCTGAAGGGAAATGATTTCTCACCTGGAATTCTATAACAAAGTCACAAGTCAGATATAAAAGTCAAATAAACACATTTTTAGACATGTAAGGTCTCAAAACCTGTACCTGCTGTGTCTCTTCTTAGGAGCTTCCAGAATAAGGACTCCGCCAAGGCCAGGGTCTAGAACAGTGGTCCTCACACGGACTCACATTTCCCTTCAGGAGATGTTTGTCAGTCTGTGAAGGTGGTTTAGTCAGGAGTGTACACAGGGTTGCTTGTCTCTACTAAGTAGGATTTCCCATGAGGTATGCAAGGCTGGTATACAAGACAGAACCCCATAGAAGAATTATATGGCCTCTTGGGTCATTAATGCCAATATTCAGAAACTTTCATCTAAACCAAAAAAAGAATGGAATATGGGAATGCAGAAAAAGAGGCTCAAAATGGAAGAGTAAGAGGCTAGTCCTGAGTGATAGCCCTGCACAGGACTAACTGGCCTAGCGGGCAGCCAGGCCAGAAGCCAGTGAGTCTACACAGACAGCAGGCAGTAGCAATACTTGTGAACATGGGGTTTGGAAAAGTAGGCAATCCCTGGGAATGCGTGGAAAGAGAAGTTAGCTCTGAGTGCGGCAGCTAGCTGCTTTTTGGGGTTTTTTTGTTTTTGTTTTGTTTTTTTAGAATTATTTGCCTTTTCCCAATTAGATGTTTTGGGTATGATTTTCCTTTTAGACTCATCCTTTCCCACTTGGGTAGAAGCAGTTTAGGTACGTAAGACTTTGGAGTTGTGCAAGCTCTCTGCTCCGAGGCAGCTGTGTGTGGCGTGTGGAACACACCTGCACTCCCACCAGGGCCGGTGGAGTCCTGGCTCTGCTTCTCGTTCACCTTCCTGCGCCTGTGCCTGGGAAGGCAGCAGATGCTCCCCGCCACCTGAGTGGAAGAGCAGGGTACATCTTCTGGCTTTGTCTTGCCCACCTCTGGCCATTGTGGGAGAAAACCTCTCTGTCTCTCCTTTTTTCTTTCTGCCTTTCAGATAATTAAATTTTTTTTCTAAAACAAAAAAAGGAACTTTTTTTTTTATGTGTCCCAGTGGGCTGTGGACACTGGGAAAGAGGCTCAGACAAGGGTGGTGTGTCGCATGCAGGATTCCAGAACAGCAGAGATCTTGCCCCTTTGTTTGGAACCCACAAGAAAACTAGGGGAATTAAATCACATTTGTTTTCCAGCTCTTCCACATTGACTTTGGACATATTCTTGGAAATTTCAAGTCTAAATTTGGCATTAAGAGGGAGCGAGTGCCTTTTATACTTACTTATGATTTTATTCATGTCATTCAACAAGGAAAAACAGGAAACACAGAGAAGTTTGGCCGGTGAGTACTGCCCTCGCGTCAAGGCTGACACTTTCTCATCTGACCAAGTGGGGCGGGCTGCTTGGCTGAAGCACACTCGCTCGGGGAGCTGATCTATTGACCAGGGGCTTTGGGACAAGGGCTCCGGGTTCCTGCCTGTCGGAGCCATTTGGGGAGCAAACCAACAGGTGGGATATTTCTTCTTTCTCTTCTTCTCTCTCTGTCATTCTGCCTTTCAAACATTGTCTTTAAAATGATACCTAGGGCCAGGCACCATAGCCTAGCGGCCAAAGTTCTCACCTCGAACGCTCCAGGATCCCATGTGGGATCCCATATGGGTGCCGGTTCTATCCTGGCAGCCCCTGCCTGTGGCCTGGGAAAGCAGTCGAGGACAGCCCAAAGCCCTGGGACCCTGCACCCGTGAGAGACAGGGAAGAAGATGAAACCAGTAGATGGGAGTTCTCTATGCCCCTCTGCCTGCCCCTCCTGATCTCTGTAACTCTGCCTTTGAAATAAAGAAAATAAATCATTTTTTAGAAAGAAAAAGATAATGGGCTAGTGGGACTTTAGAGAACCTTGTTATTTAAAATTTAGTCCTGGTATAATTTTCACAGAAATAGACCATCCATTAGTTCAGCAAACACTTCCCAGCTCTAATAAAGTCTAAACTGCCCTTTCTGTCGTCCTGCCCGCGATGGCTGGCTGCCTGCAACACCACGCTCGGTCACCGGAAGGTTCCGCCAGTGCTGTGAGGACGCCTATCTCATCCTGCGGCGGCACGGGAACCTTTTCATCACGCTCTTTGCACTCATGCTGACGGCGGGGCTTCCTGAGCTCACCTCGGTCAAGGACATCCAGTATCTGAAGGTACAGCCAGACCCCTTCCCTGGTGGCTTAGCCTGCCCGTTAACACCAAAGGGAGTGCAGCCTCCTTCCACCCTGAGATGGTTCTTATCCAGGGGCTCCTGGACCTGGTGCGAAAGAGCCGTTTGGAGAGAGCAGCTTGCAGTCCAGGTGGTTTGCCGCTGTGGAGGGGCATCAGGAAGAATGCCACAGTGTGGCCTGCACACGTTCCAAGGCCAGGAGCTGGCAGCTGGGTCAGCCACTGCCTTTAGCAGCCTGCCTCCTCCTGACCATGGGCTTCATGGCCATGGGGTCTTCCTCCTGGATTCAGGTAGTAGGGACAAGCAGCCAAGTGTATCATTTCATTTTATCTTCAAAAACCTTATGGTGGAGGTCACCTTGGCAGCCTAATCTGCTGCTCGCCCTCCCTCCTTGCAAGCAATACTTAATGAGAAGACGCAGCCACAACCTGCCAGCGGGCACGGTGGGCACAGCCAGGCCAGCTCCTGCAGGCTTGGGCGCATCTCTCCCAGGATATGTAAAGTCAGATTTGTTGTTTCCCCTCATTTTTAGGACTCCCTTGCCTTAGGAAAGAGTGAAGAGGAAGCACTGAAACAATTTAAGCAGAAATTTGATGAGGCGCTCAGGGAAAGCTGGACCACTAAGGTGAACTGGATGGCCCACACGGTTCGTAAAGACTACAGATCCTAATGCGCAGCCTGGGGTTTGTCTCGTTGTCATCTTGCGCTAAACTGAACACCCCGCCAGAGATGTTATAAAGGGAATGAAATCCTGACACGGAGTGAAACAGCAAGACGCCACACAGATTCCCGTGTGCACAATCCCTGCCTGCCCTCGCTCCTGAGGATAATCACCCCGCCCCACTGCACGCCCAGGAATGCTGCCGGGGACCGTCTTCCATTAGCTTTGTTTAAGTGTTTGGTACTTTCCTAGAAAGGTGTAAATACTCCTTGACTCAATGTTGTGACCAAGTGTCCTCACTCAGCCAACATTTAACCCGCTCTTGGGGGCTAGGAGCTCTTCTTACTTTCCAAATAAGGCTTAAGGATATTTTTTTCCTTTTTAAATTGTGTAAATTACAAATTATAATATAATTTGAAATTATTTTTCAAAGGAAATCTTTCAAACCTGTGGGAACTCATTAATTTTTTTGTTAATATTTATCTACCATAATGGCATCATTCCAGACTTGCTGAAATCTACTGGTAAAGTAAATATAATATATATATAAATATGCTGCATATATATATTTATAAAATTTCTAGTCGGAGTTCTATATGAAAAGGTTTTCCTCAGTCTGTGTTTTGCAGTTAACTGTGTGATCCAGTTCTTCCATCTGCTTCTGAGGAGGCACATGTGGACACAGTTTTTATATGGGGTCTGTGGAAGAGTTCACTTCCTGGAGCAGAATACTTGAGCACATGTGTCCAAGGAACAAGAACCTATTTATGGAATAAACTCCAGACCTAAACTCGGTATTTGAGTAAAATGCCAGCTGTTCTTACTGTATTTATTAAAACTTATAATGTGATTTTTCAAGGATATTCAAATTGAAATGGTTTAATGACACATGGAAATCTTTAATTTATTTGTTGAGGTACCATATGCGCAGGGTGCTAGGAAGCAGATGTTACTGTGTGCAGTGGGATCTCCTGGCTTGAATGCGCCCGTGGCCGTCCTGCCGCGCCCCGGCCAGGCTGCTGCTCCCAGGGCGCGAGGTGCGCCCAACCTCCGTGACTGGGAAGGACGACCGGGGTCCACCAGCATGGAGTTTTCTATAGGAATTTTATTAAAGATTGTCTAATTTTGTTGTCTTTAATGTTCTCAAATAAATGGGTGAGCTGCTTCCAGCTGTCCCTGGGCCTGTGGCCTTTCTCTTCTTTGTGTTTTTTTTTTCCTTGATGATAATGACATTCTTTTTATCACCAGTCAGAAAACCTCAGACTGACAATAGGAAAATAAATGGATTTTCAGCACATATTAGAGTTGATGCGTGTCTTGGAAGACAGGCTATTAGCTTGCCAGAATCAGTAAGGTGTGACCAAAAACAAGGAACAGCAGTTTAGAAACCACTTGCCTAATAGTAATAGTGTGGCCTGGGGAAGCAGTCGAGGACGGCCCAAAGCCCTGGGACCCTGCACCTGCGTGGGAGACCTGAAAGAGTCTCCTGGCTCCTGGCTTTTGGTTGGCTCGCCTCCAGCCGTTGCAGCCACTTGAGGAGTGAGCCAGTAGATGGAAGATCCTTCTCTCTTCTCTTCCCTGTAAAACTGGATTTCCAATAAAAATAAATTTTTTTAACAATTAAGTTTCAAATCTATGCACTTGCAATTACATCCAGTTGAATTCCTGTTTCCTCAACTCAGAAGCAGGCCCCCGCCATTCACTAGGCTTTACATCTGTGTGTGTGATAAGATCAGGAACCCTGTCCAGTCCTCCCAGTTGGGCCCGTTGGTGTGAGGTCGGGCGTGGGTGATTATCCATGCTCTCCAGTGGGGCTGGTCTTGGCCAGCTGTTGCGACTTGTCCCAGGGAGGCAGGGGGTGGCTCACATGGCCGGGCTCCTGCCTCCTGCATGTGGGGTGTGGGCTGCTCCTAGCTGCTGGCTTTCTGACAGTTCTTATACACACATGGATAGGCATTTTGTTTTTCCTTAAATTAAAAAAAAAGTTCTCCAGATTGGTTATGTACATTCAGTACTGCAATGTTAAATTACAAGCAGGCAGTTTTGCTCTTTTTGGTAACTGATTTATTTCTCTGCTCTTTTCAACGAATAGAAAAATTGCAATATTATTTTTCTTAGTTTCTGCTTAGTATTTTCTAGGACTCTAACCATCCTCGGCTGTTTTCCCGGGCCTTTCACGGGGCGCTGGACACAAGTGGAGCTGCGGGAACTGGAACTGGCATCTTACGGAAGGGCCCTACTGGCTCCACCGCAGCGCTGGCCTCGGACCGATTTACATCGCTGCTCCTTAGTGCTTGGTCCAGCTACCGCCCCACAGCCCCACGCCAGAGTCCGGTTTCTGTTCCCTGACCCACAGGCTCACTCCTGTGACTGCAAGCGGAGAGAGGCTCCCCTTGCCCCACCCGCGACAACACGTGTGGGCCCACACAGGGTAGGAGTCCCAAGTGATCAGAATGCGCAGTGCCCACGCCGCGCCGTGGGATGGGCGCAACCTCAGTTATAGGTATCAGGGGAGAGAGGCTGGCCCCGACTGGCTCACCTGGTTCTAAGTTAAGCTGAGGGACAGTCAGCTTTGAAGGAGTTCAGTGGCCTTGCCCCACAGGAGCCTCCACAACTACTCAGCTGGCAGCTGCAGCGCACGCCGGCACCGGTGCACCTGCCGCGCCCGAGGGATGGAACCGGGCGGGGCTTCCAGCCAATCGGGACGCCTCAGATCCTTCCCGCGCACGCGTCGCCCACGGCTGCCGCCATCAGCCACCAGTCCCAACAACGGCCGCCGAGGTGCTCGCGTCGCAGGTAAGAGGCGACCAGTTGGGCCCAGCGCTTACGGACCGCACCGGTGGGCACTGGGAAGCGGTTGGCGCGACTTGGAGGCACCTTGGGCAGAGGTGCGTCTAGACGCGCGTGGTTCTACTGGGCCAGGCGGGCGAGCTGGGGCGTGGAATGTCCACCCGGGATGAAATGCGGCGGCAGACGGGTCGGGTGCGGCGCGCCGGCTGTGCTTCCCTTCTGGGGCTCCCGAAGCGTGCCTTGCCTGCAAGCGGTACCTGCTACACCTGTGCTTGCCTGGTTAGCCTGGTCTGTCCTGGGGTCGCGCAGGCCACAGCTAGGTGTGAGGCGCAGAGCCAGGCCCGGGCTGCCAACTTACCGCTAAATCGTAGTGGACTGTGCTCTGTGGGTTCTTGGAAACCGTGGAGGTCTGTTCTGCGGCGCTTGCGCGCTGTCCTCTGCGTCGGGTCGGTTTCTTTTAAATATGAAATAGACCACCGTCCGACTGGTCCACCGTATGCAGCTTTCTTTAGGAAGGGAAAGGGGGCTTTTTTTTTTTTTTTCAAAACACGTATCACTAGAAAGCTTAATCTTTTTCAAAATGCTATGTCATTTGGGAGACAGAGGCTGCCAGCTGCCATCTGCTGGTTCATTCCCCCAAAGCGGGAAATATCCCTCAGCTAGAGTGGAAGCCAGAGGAAGCCACAGTTCCCTCGGGGTGGCCTAGCCCAACTGCCTCCAGGTGCTCCTTAGCAGGCAGCTGGAGTCAGGTGCAGGGCCCAGGGACTGCAATAAGCGAGTCTAGCATCCTCACAGGAGGCCGGACACCTGTCCTACATAATTACTGTGACACTTAAATGGTGTTTCCCTGTCGGTACTCTAGCCAGCTGATCTTGTTTGCCGCACCAAGTCCCTGACAGGTCACCAGCAGTTGGTGTGTTGTTTAAGGCACCAACTGCTGAGATGGCCTCACCCGTGTGGGATGCCTGGGTTCAAACCCCGCTTCTGTTCCTCATCCGGCTTCCTGCCGGTATCCCCAGGAGGGCAGCAGATGGTCGCTGCCCATCAGGTGGGAGACATTGGATTCGTGGTTACTGGCCTTGACCTGGTCCAGGCTCGTCTGTTGCCAGCATTAGCTGAAGATCTCAGCCTGGGCACAGGAGCCCACGGACTTGAGCCATCTTCCCCTGCTTTCCTGGGCCACACGCAGGGTGCTGGATGGGAAGTGGAACAGCCAGGACAGGAACTGGTGCCTGTATGGGATGCCGGGTTTGGCCAAGTCAAGTTGAAAGCTGGGAATTCAGTCCAGGATATACAAAGTTTTCCTGTTAGTTTAGTGATTATGTGCTGCTTTACCATTTTTAAGTCGCCTCCACTGGACTCTGCTTGCACACGTCGCTGCCCAGGTCCCATGGGTGTCGCTGCCCAGGTCCCGTGGGTGTCGCTGCCCAGGTCCCGTGGGTGTCGCTGCCCAGGTCCCGTGGGTGTCACTGCCCAGGTCCCGTGGGCGTCGCTGCCCAGGTCCCGTGGGTGTCGCTGCCCAGGTCCCGTGGGTGTCTCATCTTCCCAGCCTCCTGACTTTTACATCATCAGTGCATCTTAACCCTCACCTGTGTCAGCCCCACAGGAAGCTGTTTACACAGGCACTGTTCACTCTTTAAAAGCCTCATGATTTCCCTCTATGTTTCAAAAGATTTAATCTGGAATCCTATTTTTTTTTCTTAAACTAAAATTCGCTTTTTCATATTTCCTTTGGTTGCTCTGCTCTGATTTAAATTCCATCAACTTTTGTCTGATAATAATTAGCAGTATAGAAATTTACATTACTAGTTAAATGTTTCAGAACTTAGGAGGTTTTAATTATTTTAATGTTTTCCCTTTTCCATCATTTCACCCATTTTTGTCATTGCAAATGGCCAGAGCCTGGAGACAGCCCTTCGCCAAGCCGCTGAGTTGCTAAGGCATTCATGTCTCACCTTGGCACCCTTGGGTTTGGTATTTCAGCTCAGCCCAGCCCCTGGGAGGCAGCTGTGACGGCTCAGGCCTTTGGGTCCCTGCTGCCATAGGGGCCTGGTTCACGGTCCCCGCGTCCTGCTGCAGGCCCACTTGGGGAGTGAGCCAGCGGAGGGGCTGTGCTTTACAGACTTTTGGTGTCAGGCGGTCCTGGGATCCACTGGGTTTTTGCAAGTTTGCTGTCTTGGGTGCTCAGCAGCTTCACCCAGCTGCGCCCCAGCTGCCTGCGGGGCCTGCTGGCTGTGGTTGGAGGTGTCCCCACCTGCTGCTGGGCCTCTGCAGCGTCCTGTGGACAGTCACACAGCTCGTCATGTTTACACATCTCCTCTTGAATCTCTGTGTTTTTCCTGTAAGTATTTTCTTCTCACTCATCTTTCAGTTTTCTGTTTCCCTGATTTGGATCGCTGGATTTTTCTATGGGACTTTTCACTTCTGTTTATTTCTCTTGGTCCCTGCTGAAACTCATAGGCTTATCTTTTACCTCCTTGAAGATTTTATTGATTGGTTGATTCAAAATAATTTTATTTTTAAAAATTTTATTTTTAAAATAATGATTACATGGTTGATCAGAGTAAGAAGAATCGAGGTTTAGGGAAAATTGGGTGAACTCATTGCTTCCAAATTTCGTATTTCTTCTTGTTTCCGGGGAAAGAGAGAGACAAAGGGGGAAGCTACTGATGACTTTCCACACGTCCCAGTTCCCAGGGATGAGGAACCACCACCTCATATCAACCCAGGGTCTCAATGTGTGCATATTCCGAGGGTTCCATCCAGGCGGTTTGGATGGTTCTGGAATGCTGCCGATTTCACTGACCCGAGGATGATGTCGCCCTCCAAGTGTCCCTAGGCTCCATTCACCGAGATCATTTCCTGTCATCGTTTGGGGTGGTTGTCCAGTCTTTGAGCATCTTAAACACACGTAGGCTAAGTTGACTCATGTCATTTCATCTCTAGTTCTGGGGTTTCTTTCTTTGAGATTTTCTGCTGACCTCCGCTCACGTCCTGGCTTATTGCCTTATATATTGATTCATTTGTGCCAAATACGCAAAACTAAATTAACAATTTTCATTGAGTTCGTTAGCTGTGCATCTTCCTTAAGCCCTGCTCTCTGGGAAGCCTTCCCCAAAATGCCGTCTTGCTAGGTCCCGGCACGTTGGCATTCCCAACCCTGGCTTTTGACCCCCTGGTCATACAAGGCTGTCTACTGCTTGGCTGTCTCTCCTCCTGTGCTGCACTCAGTAAGCACACCTGGCATTAGGTGGTTCCACGAGCCTGGCTCAGGCCTCTGCGCTTCCGTTTCTCCAGCTGGGTTACATACAAGCACTGCCTTTGTAATGTTTCTGATGACTTCAAGAGTTCTTTAGATCTTAACCCATTTCTTAGTTGTCCATAGCAACAGAGTTGCCAGCATCACCTTTTCCATCTTTTAAAACAGAGATTCCTCTGAAAGGCAGTGACAGACGGAGAAGACAAGAAGCAATCTTGCACCTGCTGCTCCCTCTCCAGTGAGCACAAGGACAGGGCTGGGTCAGGAACCCCTCTCAGGGTCTACCCTGGGCGGGGGCCAAGCTCTTGACCTCCTCCCAGGACCCATGCAGGACATGGGGCTGCGGGGAGGACAGGCGTCACTGGGCCTTCGCTGTGAGCTCCACAGAGCCTCACTCTGTGAGCCGCTGCCCAGTCCACTTCAGGTGGGCCTTCCTAGCCGTGTGTGTCCACACACTGCCCCTCTGGGCCTGGGCAAGGACCTGAGATCCTTCCAGACAAGCTCCTAGGCGGTGTGGGGTCACCCTGAGCGAGGCCAGGACAGGTGCCGTGGCACTGCGGGCTGAGCTGCTGCTTCGGACGTCTGTATCGTATTAGAGGGCCTGGGCTGAGTGCCCAGCTCTGCTTCCCTCGGCATCTGCTGCTCAGGCGTACCTGCCCGGCGGGGCCTGAATGCGCACGGGCGCACTGGGCGCTGCCACCTGCACAGGCATACAGTGCCACCTTTAGCATCTACCCACCCAGGACACACCTGAACAGAGCTTGCCTCTTCTCTCTGCTTTGTTCTTGCTAATTAAACAAGCACAGCTTCAGGAGCCCACAGCTTAACTGAATTCTTAGGCGATAGTACTTGATGTTTCCTAAATATGTGTCCAGGTAGAAAACACTCCTTTTCTCCAGGTAAACTAGTAGAAGCAAATGTGTTAAAGCAGAGACACAAGCTGTCGGGCCAGGTTACCCCTTTTAAAAGCGCAAATCAAGCAGCAATAAAACCAATTTCACCTTATTTCCTTTTATTATTGTAAAAGCTACTGCTGTAAAACATTAGTGATTTGGGTCTATATCTTTTCAATTTGGCTTTAAAAGTTTACATTATTTACAAAATAAATTGTGATTCTGATTGTACATACTTCCTCTCTGATCTTTGGGGCATCACAGCTTCAAGTAACTAAAAAATAAAAACACCTCGGACTAAATGTACCGACGTACACGTGCACGCATCGGCAGGGTAACGAACAAGTGTGAGCCGCACTTCCGAGGGCGGCGCCTCGCGCATGCTCACTCGAGCGTCTCCGGGATCTCTCGGTTGTCCACGATGAGAGTGTGAACGATGCCTTCCTTCCGCTTGCCGCTGCTCACGGCCTTTATGCAGCAGTCGTGATGCCCGTAGCTGAAGTGTGTCTCGGTCCCGTCGTCCACAAACTCGCCCTGCGCGGCGAGAAGAGGAGTCAGGATTGCAGGAGCACCCCCAGCTCTAGAGCCTGCACACTAGCTCAAAGTTCGGGGCAGTAATGAAACCACAGGCCAGGTAATTGTGACACTTTGCAATATAGATCTTTGTAACTTTTGGCCGCTCCTAAGAAGAGAGCTACAGGAAGGAGGCTTCTGGGTGCCCACGGAAGCAGATGCATTCCTTCCGCCCCAACACCTCACTTCCTGCAAGCGCCTTTCCTAAGCCTTTGATCAATGAATGAGATAATGGTAGCAGCACTGCCAGGTCACAGACATGGTCACGGCAGAGGCCCCATCACCGCAGCCAGCGAGCATGTCCACAGCTTGTGTGCCTGCTCGGGGTTTGTGCCCTTCACTGGCTAAAACTGGCTCTGCTAAGCTTGTGGGCGTCACTTCTTTTCCAACAGTCTCACTGTGGACAAAGTACCCTCCGTGCTGGTTGTGAAGTGTACCTTCGTCCTCCCAGCATGCTCTGGGGTCAGCGGCGCTGGCTGCACCTGCCCTAACACGGTCCCCGGGGGCTCCAGTGCTCGCACACTGGGTGAGAAGGGAAAAGGTGGAGGAGGCAGCGCTGGAGGCCTGGATCTTTCTAGAATACAGCTTGGCCCAGGAGAGGGAAGGCAGAGTGGGAACTGCTGCCAGACTTTGTTCTGGGCCTTGCTTCTGAAAGGTTTTCCAACTTTAGTGTCAGGATGCTCAGCTCTCATTTCTTTAGACCAAGAAGACCTTGGTTAATTATAAAGTCCCCGTGACTAGGAAGCCGCAGTGTTCTGGAGGTAACTTAAGCACGGCAACTTACCGCCGTCTCCATCTTTGTCCCGTTACACCACACATCCATGGTGTCCTTCTCTGTAAAAGTAACAGGAGAAGTTTATAGTTCTGCGATGAATGCTAACTGTCCACATTTAATATTTCAGTTAAAACTGGACACATTAATTTGTACAACAGTTGTACACATTAGATTTGCACGCCTGGGGCACAGGGACACAGGGCGAAGACAGAGCACTGATGGAGCTGCAGCTTCTGCTGTGTCCCCACTGCACAGGAACGCGCACAGATCTGCGTGACAGCATCCTGGCATGCCTCACAAGAACTGTGACTCCAGAAGGCAGACACAACAACGGGACAAAGCTGGCTACATAAAAGTAAAAGAAAAAAAAAAAATCCTGCGTGCCTGAAAAGAACCGTGCACACACATAAGCAGAGCCAGACAACAACTGGAAAAAACGAATTGCAACACGAAGGGCTGCTGCTGACACAGCGGCACCTGGCGGCGGGTGGCCGTATCGCAGGTAGGACACCCCACCGCGAGGCTCTGGGTCAGGCGGCCTAGGGCTCCTGGTGCCTGCGCTCGGTGCCAGCTGTGGACCGTGTCCCCAGCACTGGCTTCGCCCTCAGCCCTGCTCCGCCAAGGTCACTTTCCTCCTACTGTCTTTATTTTTCTCTCACAGCATCTGGGGCTTGGTGACCACCAAACCCATGAATGACAACCAGCTCTGAGAGGGCTCCCCTTACATGCTTTATGCTTTATGTTGGGGAGGTGGTGGTGAAAAAGACCACCTGTAGGACCTCCGAGGTCCGGTCTCCACCCTGCTTGCAGTCCTCCAGGCGGTCACCCACTCCAGGCCAAGGTTCCTTGGAGCGAATGACGACCTTGCCAGCCGCGGCCCAGGCTAAGCTCTAGGAACAGCCTGGGCGAAGTGCCTGCTCTCGTGTTTAGCATGGAACAGGACTTCAATAAATCACGTTTTGCTATTAAAAGTTTTTCCTTGCTCTGTTCTAACTTCTCAATGTAAAGTTACATGATACTTATTTGTCACATAAAACATATAAAATAACTTTTCAATGAATCACAACCACCAAAGATCTTTCTAAAGAACTTACTACGTATTTTATATGTACAAACTCAGTTGTATCATGACGTTGGCTAGTTGGCTGATCAAGTGCCTGCTGTTATTTGAAAGGCTTCGTTTCATCACCTGTAAAAGCCCCGTATGTTCCAATGTGCTGACACTACTTCTAATCCTGCCCAAACTAAAACTCCCATCCAGTAAGTAATGCGATACCTCGGTTCTAAAATTTTATTATGGAATGCGTCGTTACATTCCTGACCACTTCACTCTGCAAGCTGGGGTAAAGGATGAGATGAGCTCCAGAAGGAAGAGACGGCCTGGTATCAAACTACTCGCCCACAGCGACACAGAACAGCAGACACTGGAAGAGGACTTTGCAAAGTTCCAAGAAATGAAAACTCTGAAAGCAGCCCACGGTGCTCAAGTCCTGCTTGCACTTTCTGTCCTACACACGGTCCGTGGGAGATGACCCCAGGGTGCACTGCAGGGCACAAAAGGACTGGAGCTGCAGGGTCTGCGAGGACACGGCGCTGGGAGCCTGCCAGCTTCTCAAGAGGAAAGAATATCTGTTAAGAATGGAAAGAGTTCCAAGCAGTGGAGAATGTATTCTGGCAGTAACAGACATTTGAAATACGGGCAAATAAGAAAAGACAAAGCTTGGAAACACAAACGAATCCCCCTCACCAAATCACCTACAACAGCAGTGATGACGAAGGAAGCTAAGAGGGAGTCAATTAATTTGAGCAGTTGGCAGAATATATAACAGAAAACCCACTTTATCTTGACAGTAAAAACTTTCCTTTGAGTGGCACATGGAAATGAGACAATAAAATCAAGAATGTAGTCACAGCCCACCATAGAGTATTTATATAACAACATGTTATTTAGTAGCTTTCAACGTTGTGCTCAACCTATAAAAACACAGATAAAACTATTGTTACAGAACAAAATACAAATATTACTTGAGCAATGTAAAGGAAGAGGCAGAGGACACAGGCGTTGAAAGGAAAGGCAGGAAGCCGGGCCACGGGTGGCTCCATCTCAAGCCGCAGGATGAAGTAACCCCGCCAGCTGCGGAGGAAGCTGAGGACAGCGCATTCCAAATGACCAATAGCAAAAGGGAACCACAGACAGCTGCGCACAGGAAGCAGAGGGTCTGGGAGAATCACCAATGTGGCGGAGGATACAGAGGGCTGACGTGGGAATACACCTGAGGCTGGGGAGGCTCCCCCCCGCCCCCCGTGGATGCAGCGCCGAGGGACCTGGACTTGTCTCATTGACCCTTGGAAGTCACAGCCCAGGCTCCTTTCCAGCACAGACCCCCACCCTGAGAAGAACCAAGTGGCCCAGGAACAACCTGCCGTGAGACCCCAGGAGGGCTGGGAGCAGACACAGCAGGCAGCCCAGAAGGCGAGTCCCTCTGCTCTGTGACATTATCCAAAAACAACACCGAAGGCAGTTCTGCAGCTTGGACTTCAAAAGCTCTGAAACTACACTCCCTTCCACAAATCCCGGAAAACCAAGTTCCCATAAAAATGAGCCGAGAGTGCTGAGCTTTCACTCCGTAAAGAAAAGAAAAGAAAAAAACAGATGACCATGCTAGTGACAACACAACCACAAAGACAGAACACGGGCGGGCAGCCACGTGTCCACCTACGCACAGAACGTCCGTGCTTTCTCCACTGACAACCTACAAGTCATGAACACTTCCTCCAACAGAAACTTGTGCTTCTTAACAAACGGTGATTCGAGGTCTGCACAGAAAATACTGGAAATCAACCTGGAACATTCTGTAATATCTGATAGCAGGCAAGTCAAACTGTGTCCCTAGGGGGTGTCACGGGAGGGCCCCTCCAAGGCAGAACTGCAGTCTAGTGAAAGTTGACAGATAAAGGGAATATGCAATTATCCTGCATTTCCTAGAATAAAATGTACCACTGCAAAACCAAATAGCAGATGACAGGAAGTGTCTTAGTAAAAAAAAATAGAGAGTTGTCTAATTATAGAAATATTCCACCTAAGAAACAAGGAATGCTGGAGTAAGAGCCACTACGCAGCAACCCTTGAATTAATGGATCTGAAAATAGCAGTGGCCACCAACATTAAACAGTTCAGCGCACCAGGGGCTTCATGGCACAGCAGATGGTGATGTGGTCTTGCCAGAAGAGAAGGAAGCCAAACATAAATTTGTCCCATTTCTTCAGAGTAAACTTACAGGAAATACGGAAGCTAGCAAAATTCAGACGTTACGCAGTGATTCAGTCATTTTAATAAGCTAGACACAAGTTGGGGTTTATCTTTTTTACATATGCACATTCATGATTGATAAACATTCTCCATTAAGAAGAAGGGGTTCTCTTGCTCCTTGCTAACATCTGACTGTAAGCTCTGACCTTCTCCCCTCGCGTCCTCCGCGTCCGTGCACCTGCTGGACCTTCAGAGTCCCTACTCTGACGCCAAGTGCTGAGATGTACAGTGTCAGGGGAGCAGGGACCACTCTCTACAGCCACAGTGGGAAAGGTCGCCCAGAAATAAGTATTTCACAAGACTGCTTACAACATCTGTGTTATCTGGCCTTTGGGTGACTGAGATCAGAGACAGCCCTGGGCTGCCCGTCATCTAGAGGGATTCCTCTTACATTTCTGACCTCAGACTACTAACTAGTATCAATAGATACCAATATTACACTTTATAAAACTCAAGTTTATAATCCTCAAATCATCATGGTAAAACATGGCTTTAAATATTGTAGTCAAATGAATAATTCATCCATAGAGAACACATCCGAAATAAACCTGCACTTCTTGTCCTATTCGAAATTCCCATGAAAGGAGCTGACTCAACAGCCTTCAGAGAAAGCCAGCACTGACTTACCCAAGACGACTCTGCAGTCCTCCCCGTCCAGGCGCAGTGTCCACGTGCTGGTGGTCTCTGACCTGTTCTCCATCCACTTCTTAAGGCTTTTCCCGTCGATTTCCAGGGTGTATTCATAAGCGAACCCGCTGACGGCGTCTATGTTGATGGTTGCTTTCGTCTTGGTGGCGCCGACACAGAACGTCTCTTTGCCCACTAACTTAAACATCCATTCTTTCCGTATCTCTTCCTGGGTAATAAGATATAAATGTGTACAACACACAGTCACAAGAAAAAGTAGCATTGAACTTTAGAAACGATGTGATTGAAGTAATGAGATGGCAATGCTGTGAGATGTAACTTTACTGACAATGCCAGAGTTTCAGGAAATAAAGGCCTTTCCGGAAAGGGTTTGGCCTGGCAGCTAAGGTGCCCGGTCAGGTGCTGCTGGCCCACACTGGAGCAGCTGAGCGCACGTTCAGCCCCTGACACAGGCTTCATGGGTGCTCATAAGGGATCCCAGAAACTGGTTTTTAAAAAGGCCATGTTAGGGCCCAGCATGATGGCCTAGCAGCTGAAGTCCTCGCCTTGAACGCGCCAGGATCCCATATGGGCACTGGTTCTAATCCTGGCAGCCCCACTTCCTATCCAGCTCCCTGCCTGTGGCCTGGGAAAGCAGTCGAGGACGGCCCAAAACCTTTGGACCCTGTTCCCACGTGGGAGACCTGGAGGAAGTTCCTGGCTCCTGGCTTCGGATCGGCACAAAACCAGCTTTGGGGTCACTTGGGGAGTGAATCATCGGACGGAAGATCATCCTCTCTGTCTCTCCTCCTCTCTTTATGTCTGACTTTGAAATAAAAATAAAATAATTCTTAAAAGAAAAAAAAAAAGAAACAGCCTTGGAGCAGAACTCCAGCTTGGACAGGAAATGGTACAGATGAGGAGACTGACAAGTTTTTTTTTTTTTTTTTGAAAAAAAAAGGCATTTTAAGTTCAAACATTAGAAGTGATACTTCACAACTTATATACTATTATTAGTTTGCCTTTTACAGTAAAATGATGTACGCAAACAGTACAAAGTTAATCACGGTTTTAAAAAAACAGAAACCAAACAAAATTAGGCTCCTGTGCCTTTGTTTCCCAGGCTCCTTTGCATATTTTCCAGTCTCTTGCCTGTTTCCCAGGCTCCTTTGCGTGTTTCCCAGGCTCCTTTGCATGTTTCCCAGGCTCCTTTGCATGTTTCCTACATAGCATGTCTGTTTCCTACCTTCCCGTCTACGTAGACAACGCGTTTGCCTGACGTGGTGCCATGTTCAAATTCAATCTTGTGGATTCCATCACTTAAAGCAACATCCCAAACGGCTACAAGATCTGTCATTTTTTCCAGGCTATAAGGAGGACTAAAGGAATAAAATAAAGCCATTACAATGAGCCAAAAATAGTAACAAGAAACAAAACTAAGATGAAACTGAGCTTTTTACCACCTCTAACATTACAAAACATTAAAGTGACATTACCTGAGAACTACTCACAGCGCAGACATAACCATTTCCTCCCTGTTACTCACTCTACCTTCAAGAGAGAACTATATCTGGATGTATAGTCGGATAATTCCCAAGTCACCTAACGGTTAATAGGATTAAGACTCTCAGCATTAAACAGAGCTTCGGGCCGGGCTGCAGGACAGTGCATGGAAACATCAGTAAACAAACCCTCCAGGCTTCACCATGCACACGCCACGCCTGCCACACAGACACACACACCCGCACACTCACACACCTGCACACCCCCACACACCCCACTTACAGTGCAGAGTTTAGTTGTTCTTTTTTCATATCCAATTACTCCAAAACAAGACCTTTGCAAACCTTTCAAACTTCAACTAATAGTTAGGGATCATCTTAACAAAGAAGTCAAATGAATAAAACCAAAGAAAAAGGCATGCAGAAGAGAAATAACTTACTGTAGAGATAAAACTAATACAAACCTGTTCTGGAAAATATTAACTTTTAGTAATGCTATAAGAAATCTTACAGTACACAACTTTGTTGGGAGAGTACGTGACTAGCCTAGTAATAAGATGCTGGTTGCCCTCGGGGTCCTGCGCTGGCGCACCTGAAGCGCCTGGGTTCCTGCCAGCCAGGGTGCCCAGCTCTGCACGGCCCAGGGCTTCTGCACGCCTTGGGACCTGAGCCTGGGGTGAGAGCGGGCTCTCTCTTTCTCAGTTGTAAAAGGTTACAGCACTGTCAATACACACTGCTGATATTAATATCCATAGGTGAATACGTGTGTGCTGGGCAAATGACATACACAGCACACATTTAATAGGCGATTAGTGCTTTGATATTGAAATTTTTAGCTTTGAAAGAAGTAACCTTTGTTGCAGTAAGCATGACCACGGCTGGCTACCACGAAGAGCCTACTGTGTGCAGTCCTGATTTCAGAGGTGTGCTGATCTGCACTCAGCATGGGCAGGGTTGGTCCTGCCTAAGGTCCTGGTGACATTAAGTGATGGGCAGATGCTGGTTCCAGGGCCTGCTCTGCTTAACCGTCTCGCCCTCTCTTCACTCTGACCTCCCTCATGTGGTCTGAGGCAGAAGTGGGCAGACCTCGGGTCATTTTGAACCGGGCGTCAAAGACCCCTGGGCCGAGGACAGTGTGGACATCTCACCTCAAGGTTCTACAGGAAAGGGTGCTACACAGGTGGTTGGCACCTCCAGGCCAGGCGCTGACTGCCCCTGCTATAAACTGAAGTAAAACACATCACACACTCTGCAGTTTACGAAACGTGGTCTTAGCAGAGTAGCCTGCATAATAACTCCGCTGAACACTGTTATGTCGGGCGAGGTGGAGTGCCACGTGACACAGTTACCTGTCATCGTCTTCAAAGATAGGACTGTCCTCTCTGGACGCCATGCTCGGCAAAACAGTCTATCCAGTTAGCAGCCATGGAAGGGAAAAAGCAGAAGAATTGCAGCAAAGAAAAGTGAGAGCAACAAAGAAGACATCTACAGAAGGCTTTGCTAACTGTGCAATCCATTTCTTAAATTGCATGCAATTTCTGATGAAACAGTTTTACATACAATAGAATTGCAGTCTTTAATTTTCAAAGAAGTTAAATCATGCAACAAGCCAATTCTATCTTTACAATTTCTTTTTTTATAAAGATTTTATTTATTGTTATTGGAAAGGCAGATATACAGAGAGGAGGAGTGACAGAGAGGATAACTTCCGTCCAATGACTCACTCCCCAAGTGGCTGCAATGGCTGGAGCTGAGCCAATCCGAAGCCAGGAGCCAGGAGCTTCCTTCAGGTCTCCCATGTGGGTGCAGGGTTCCAAAGCATTGGGCCATCTTCGACTGCATTCCCAGGCCACAGGCAGGGAGCTGGGCTGCCAGGATTAGAACCAGTGCCCATATGTGATCCTGGTGCGTTCAAGGCAAGGCCTTTAACTGCTAGGCCATCGCACCAGGCCCTACAATTTATTAAAAGTAGAATTTCTTAATACTAGCGAATACATTTTAGTTTGTTTGCAGCATTATAGCAGATCAGAGTTTAGGGAGGCCTGAAGAGTCCCCTGGGGCGCAGGCTCCTCCAAGTGAAGCCCAAGCTGTGAGCCAGCAAGGGGTCAAGACAAACACAGCACACCTTCTAGAAGGATTGATGTCCCAGGGTGGTAAGAATTTAGAATACCTCAGAGGGCTAAGATGTAATTTGTAACGTTGTTGTAGATAACGCCCAAACCGGATGAGCTCGCGGGAAGCAGCAGGGATTGCCGCTGGCCCCAGAGCAGACTTAATTTTTCAGTTACGCAGTTATGCTCATTTAATACTAGCGCTACTACTACTAATAGTGCCAGCACGGAAGTGTCGCTGCTTGTTCAGTGACCAGCAAGACGCAAGGCGGGACTTCAGCCTGGCAGTGAGCGGACAACTAGGAGATAACTAGGGGCAGGGTGGAGTGTTGTTGAAATCAGGAAGCCTCTACATTGTAGCATTTGGGACTCACACGTGCACCCTGGGCAGCCTATGAAAACCCTAAAACCAGTGTGTCCTCTTAAAAAGTGTATTTCTTCTATAGATATCCAGTAGTTTTCTCACTTTAAAAATTGGAGTTGCCAACCATCTACGGCTGGGCAGATTCAGAAGTTACAAAGTGTCCAGAGATGTGAGGGAAGACAGCAGAAAGAGAAACAGCCCCGGGCGGGAAGGAATGCTGGAATTTTAGAAGGGAAACAGGTTAACAATTTGTACTTAGAGAATAGTTTAAAAGGTAGCACCATAGAAATTTATAAAATTTCCAAGTGACAAAAGTCCTAGAATATTTCCTGTGAAATTGGAGGGTTTTCTGCAACTATGCAAGCAAAAAGAATTCACAGCGTGGAGAACGGCGCACAGCAGGAGCATGCTCAGATCAGGCCTGTCTAAATCAGAGCCTGTTTAGGGAGAGCATTCAAGTTTGCTCTTCAACTCTGAAGACTCTAGAAAGTTTAGCCACACAGTGTTCAAACCTGAAAGAACTGCCCCATTTTATATTATAAGGAACTTCAAATATTACCAAATCACATTGAGATTAAACATGAAACCATCTTAATACCTTTCCATACCAAAGTATAAAAGACAACAACAAATCGGCAAATTACAGATCAAAATCACACTCTACTTTCAAAAAACACCTCTCAAAGTAGCAAGTTTTCATTCTTCAGCAATCTACAGTGTCCAAGTGTACACACTGTGGCTCAGATACAGCGTGGACACTGAACTCCGGCAGGAACTAAACCGCCAATCCTGAGACAGCTGCTGTGTTAGAGGTGGGGCCTTTGAGGAGCAGCTCAGCTAACATTAGTCATTAGCATGGGGCCCTCAAGACCGATCCTGGTGGCTGTGCCAGGAGACGCCCCCGCCACACGCACACACACATGCACACAGGATGCCCTCCAGACTGGCCAACCACCAGATGCTAAATCAGCTAGGCCGACCTGGTCCTTCACTGCGAGCCTCCTTGCCCCGGAGAGCCCAGCTACCCCCTTCTTCACCAACCTTGCCTTCCCCGGCTCCTGTGCTACTGCTGGGGAATGGAGAGCAAGGGCTGACACCATTATCGGGCAGACTTGAAGCAAAATCCAATTCCACTGAGAGTCATATATGTCAAGTTGATGTTTCTTCTTAAAACACACATTCACAAACCAATACAAAATTGCTATTGTTTTGAAAAGACCTGGCTGAATAAGAAAAAGACTGCTATAACACAGTAACATTTCAATTTTTCTTATCCATGTTATCCATTATTTTAAGCAACAGATGTGAAACAATAATAATAATTAAGAAATATAATTGATCCTAAGAACCTTAATAGCATATTTGGCTTAGAAAAGACTGCAGTGTTTTACATTTTACACGGTCAAAGGCAGAGAGGAACTAAAAAAAGGAGCTTTGTATTCGAAGATTACAGCAACCACTCTATTTGTAACAGCCATGACCAAAACAAGAGACAGTCCTGCAACTTTCAGCGCTGGAAAAAGAAAACAACAAAAACCAAAGAAATAAGCCTGTCTCCCTTCTCTATTGCGGAGAAACCAACTCAACAGGGGACCCTTCCAGAGCACCTTCCTGGCCAGGCTGGGCTCTGCCCCCTGCCTCACTCTCCTGCCATGGAAAGCATTGGAAAGCGTGGAAAGCAGCCAGCCCAATGCCCAGAGGGAACTGCCCGCTCCTGCTTGGGCTGTTCTTTCACAACAAATGTTTCGTGCATCTTGTGAACTCTGCCATTTCACACACTGCCTCTTCGTCTCGGCACTTTAAAAGTTAATAGCCACGGCTCAGAAGTAAGGGGCCCACGTGGAGTTCACCCTGATCATAAATGCAATTGACTAACACATCTAGTTTTTGGCCATTCACAAGGGGCGGGGCGGGCACTGATATCACTGGCCAGTTCTCTTAGTTTATGGGTAAGAAGCAGAGAGGAGATGAGCAGGACTAGTTCTCAAACTTCAAGAAATACTAAAGCACAGTGAGCAATATTTTTTAAACAGACCCTGAAATACACATGGGCTGGTGTTGTGGCATAGCAGGTAACATTGTCACCTGCAGTTGGCATCCCACCTGGGCACCGTTTCATGTCCTGGATGCTCCACTTCAATTCAGCTCCCTGCTAACAGCCTGGGAAAAACCAGAGATAGCCCAAGTCCGGGGGTCCTGGCCACCTAAGAGGAAGACTGGGAGACACTCTGGCCCTGGTGTCAGCCTGGCCTGGCCCCTGCCAATGCAGCTCCGTGAGCCAGCAGACGGACGACTACTGCTTGCCCTCTCCCTAATTCTGCTTTTCAGAGCAAACACATCTTAAAATACAAAGGACAAGCTCACAGAACCAGCGCGGGTCTCTGGTAACTGGTGGCTTCCTGTGTGGTCCACACACAGCACCAGCAGAAGTTCACTCCACGTGAAGTGCTCAATACGCATGCTGAAAGCACCCCAGTCAACACCTGTTCCTGAACGTTCTCTACAGGCTCCAGGCAAATTGCTGTGCTTGTGCTTTGTTCTCCCAAGGGGAGGGAACCTTCACAACACAAGTTGTCTTAGGGGACATTCATTTTAACACCCCCAGGGGTGAGAGGCCCCAGCCCCGCCCCGCCTGGGGAAGGGGCGAGCCAGCAGATGCTCTCCTGCTGTCTCACAAGGTCTTTAAATGGAAGTGGACTGACACCGCTCCAAAGAGTCCATAAAATGGCTACTAAGCACAAAGGAAGGACCAGAACACCACTAACCATAAAGAAATGCAAATCAAATCCACAAAAGGGATTCCATTTCACAACTGCCAGGATGGCCATATCAAGGAGAGAGAGCACGAGCGAGCGAGCAACCAGAACGAGGTCCAGCGATGAAGGCTTTGGACACTGCAGACGCAAACATCAAAAGGAGGGCATGGAGTCCTCCACGGTGGCTGCCCAGGAGTGCCGAGTGGGGCACTGCACACCGGGAGCGGCGGCCTTCCCATGACCCGAGGCCCGGGGTCCATCACCATGACGAGGGACTGCAAAATGGGGGATACATGCTGTATCTCCAGGGACTTCATGGAAAACGTAGAAAAGAGTTTGTTGCACCAAAAACATACTTAATTTCTTATTGGATGGAAAAAGTAGCTAAGAGGTTGTCACCATCTTGGGAAGTGCTGTTCAAGGGTTGCAGCATTTCTGCTTCAGCTGTTCAAAAGTTTAAGAACTCGTGATGAAACTCACATAACCACCAAACACCACTGAAAATGGCCCCCGGGGAGCGTGCATGCTATATACATTTTACCAGGACTTACAGAATAATGCAACATACTAAGGTACTGAAGTGCGCGCTCTAAGTGGGTGAACTGTACACTGTGAATTACAGGCTATCTCAGTGAAGAGACGGAGGTGCCCTGCTGGCGCGGGTCTCGAACCCCTCACCGCCACGCTGTCTCAGCAGGGACTGCGTCTGTCCTTCCTGCGTCGCCCCATCCAAACAAGAAGCACTGCTCACACAGAGGTCTTTCCCCTAGACACGAGACTCGGTAAACCCGTCAGCCAGCGCAGTCCGTGCTGGGCACGCCAGCGCAGCAGCAGTGTCCTCCAGGGACAAGGGCCGCGAGGCCCGAGCAACGGGCTGGCCCTGCCAACGGGGGCAGGCGTTGGTGTAAGAGTTAGGGTCAGGCACTGTCCTTTTCTCTTCCACATTCATCTCCTTTCCAGGATTACATCTGCAAACCGATAAACACCCCTCATCGTTTCCTCCATTGTTGGTATGGACAGTCAGAAAGCAAAAGAAAGGAAAAATTAATTCCCTTTGTTTTCACTGATGGGGAGGACGTTGCCCACTTGCCCGCCAAGAAGCTTCTTGGGTGTCTCCTGACTCGCGCATCCGCAATAAAACAGGCACAATGCCCAGCGCCAGGCACTCAGGATTCCTGGGCAAAACCTGAACATGCACGAGTTCCAGTAGTCCACCAACCCTAGTCTGAATTCTGCCCACTGGGGAAGGCTCCAGCGCTTTGTGCAGGCTAAACCCCAGGCCAAAAATGTGCTAAGCCGCTCATGGTTCCTTTCAAGCCAAAACTGCACTTAAGGCCGTGGGGAAGACAGGCTCTCTATGGCAACAGGTGTGTCTCCCGAACC